AAAAAAAAAAAAGAGTTTGGAAATTACTAACCTCAAGATATCTAAGCTGAAGAGTACAAAGGGCTCCAGAGAGCTAGATAAAGTTTTCCAAGGCCATGCAGTAAACCCAGCTATCCTGTGACAGCAGACCTTTCCCTCCATTGCCTCCCTCTCTCAGCTAGACTAGAGCAACTGGAAGTTCCCATACTTGGAAGGCATCTCTATAAGGTACACGTGACTTCTGACTTGCTGAACAGCTCAAATCATTTATTATCAAGCCAAGGTGACCATCTTCAGGCCTTTAGGACTGCTGGGGTCCTGGGAACCTTACAGTGCATTCTGCTTGATCCTGACCTTCTTGGGCTTGATGTTCATGCGTTTCCAGACTTCGGCTGTAGTGCGGTCTGCTTTGGTGACCCCACTGAAGTCGAATGTAGTGATACGGGGCAGGGTGCACAGCACATATTGCCTGTGGGGAAAACTCGGGCTGGGGGCCAGCCCCCCGTCCCTTCCCCCCCTCTGGCCAGTTGCTGCTGTCTTCCCTGACTGCAAGGAATGGAGGGGTTTGAGTATACTTTTGGGGAGATCAGGTTTACTCTGACTGACACCATGAAATGCCTAAAGGGCTGCTACTCCCTCCCAGGATCCAAGCAGGACAGAAGAATGGTCTTGGATTCTTGTTGCCCTTCTCCTTTTCCCTCAGGGGAGCCAGCTGGACTCCCGTTCTAGGGCAGGGCACTTACCTATACCCCTTCTCCTCCTCTATGGGGTTTCCATGGAGTGTTAGACTTCGGAGTCGAGGGAGGACAGCCAGCTTGTTCACCTCCCCTAGGCGATGGATGCTGTTGCCATGAAGATAGAGGACACTCAGGTTGAAGAAAGTTGCTAAGACCTGTTGGGGAAAGGAACTGAGAGCCAGGCTGGACAGGACTCTGGATCTGTGCTCAGGAATGACTGGGCAGAGATGGAGGAACTTGGGAAACAATTGCCCTCCACTCAAACTCCAAAGCCATACTATATGACTCTAACCTACTTTCATTTACCTTTCAAAAGATACAGGGGAATCACATTGAAATAGAGGTGTCATCTGAGAAGTAGGTGGTATTGGCCTAGGTACCAGCACTAACACTGACTTGCCAGAAGAATGGGCTCCCCTACCCCTCCCTGAGCCTTCCTTGCCCCTTCACTGAAGACTTTTCCAGCTTTGGTGACTTAAGATTCTATCACAGTAAGAGACCGGAATACATGCTAGGCACAAAAAGGAAGCTTTTAAAGTGCAAGATAAATTTAGGCCAGGTACACTGGCTCATGCCTGTAATCCTAGCACTCTGGGAGGCCTAAGTGGGAGGATCACTTGAGACTAAGAGTTCCAGACCAGCCTCAGCAAGAGCGAGACCCCATCTCTAAAAATAGATAAATTAGTCATGGTGGGTGCCTATAGTCCTAGCTACTTGGGGGGCTAAGGCAGGAGGATTGCTTGAGCCCAGGAGTTTGAGGATGCTGTGAGCTATGAATGTCACTGTACTCTAGTTTGGGCAACAGATAAGACCCTGTCTCAAGGTAAGAAAAAAAAAAGTTAAATTGAGATCACTACATTGGGGGAACAGTTCCCAAATCATGCCCTAGCTCTTTTTTTTTTTTTTTTTTTTAAGACAGAGTCTCACTAGGTCACCCTTGGTACAGTGCCATGGCGTCACAGCTCACAGCAACCTCAAACGCTAGGGCTTAAGCGATTCTCTTGCCTAAGCTCCCAAGTAGCTGGAACTATAGGCACCTGCCACAATGCCCAGCTATTTTTTGTTGTTGCAGTTGTCATTGTTAGTTAACTGGTCCAGGCCAGGCTTGAACCTGGCTGCCTCGGTGCATGTGACCACTGTGCTATGAGTGCCAAGCTATGCTCTAGCTCTTTTCCTCTTCAACAGGGATCCAAACTGGCCATATATTGTTTATTTCTTAAAATGTGAATCTGAGTCCACAGGACAGCACAAGACATAGTAGGTGCCCAATAACAACTACAGTTTTGTTTCAGCTTCCAATGTGCCAGTTGGTTTTCATATATTTTCATTTAATTCTCACAAAACCTTTGTGATGCTGGCATATTGGGTATCCCTGTTTTTCAGATAAGGAAGCTGAAGTTTTGAGAGGGTAGGTTGCTCACCCAGAATCACACTGTAAGAGGCAAATCCAGGATATGAAACCTACATCTGTGTGACCCCACAGCAGTGTGCTTTGGACTGATCATGTTGCCTCACTACTTCTGTGACACCATGTGAGGCTGGGGACCTCTCCCTCTGATTGGTCTCCTAGGGCTAGAAACTCACAGGGTCAATGGAAGTCAGGTCATTGAAGGACAGGTCAATCCAGGCCAGGTTCTCTGGGTAGGCTAGCAGCCGTGAAACCACCTGGTTGAAGTCTTTCAGGTCATTGAGGACGTTGTTATTCAGCCACAAAGACTGGGTCAGCAACTTCCCCGACTTTGAGTGCTTCAGTGGTCGTAGCCCTGTTCTTGGCTCCTCGGTTACTAGATCTGTGGAAACAAATTGAGGCTTGGGGATGTTTTTGCTTTCCTGGCCTTTAGCAGCTGGGAAGGGACAGAACTAGAAAGATGAGGAGCTCAAACTGTAGTTGGAGGGACTGTCAGGGCCATACCTTGTGCTTGAGACCCTATCCCACAAGCCAGCAATCAGAATACGGTTTTTTTTTTTTTTTTTTTTTAAGACAGTCTCACTCTGTTGCCCTGGTAGAATTCTATGGTATCATAGCTCACAGCAACCTCAAACACTTGGGCTCCAGCAATCCTCTTGCCTCAGCCTCCTGTGGAGCTGGGACTACAGGTACCTACCACAACCTGGATAGTTTTTCTATTTTTATTTATTTATTTTTGAGAGAGTCTCACTTTGTCACCTTCAGTAGAATGCCATGGCATCACAGCTCACAGCAACCTCAAACTCCTGGGCTTAAGTGATTCTCTTGCCTCAGCTTCCCAAGTAGCTGGGACTACAGGTACCTACCTGTACCTACCAACACCAGGCTATTTTTTAGAGATGAGGTCTTGTTCTGGCTCAGGCTGGTCTTGAACTTGTGAGCTTAGGCCAGGGGTCCTCAAACTTTTTAAACAGGGAGCCAGTTCACTGTCCCTCAGACTGTTGGAGGGCTGGACTGCGGGCCCTGGAACGAGTCGGCTACTAAGCAGGACAGGCAGCTGGCGGGCCAGATAAATGTCCTAGGCAGGCCACAGTTTGAGGACGCCTGGCTTAGGCAGTCCACCTGCCTGGGCCTTCCAGAGTGCTAGGATTATAGGCGTGAGCCACTAAGCCTGGTAGTTTTTCTATTTTTAGTAGAGAGGAGATCTTGCTCAGGTTGGTCTTGAACTCCTAAGCTTAAGCAATCTACTTGTCTTGGCCTCCCAGAGGGTTAAGATTATAGGTGTGAGCCACTGTACCCACCTCCCAGAATATGTTTGTACAAAGGGCCAAGACTTCTATCTCAAAATCTTGGCTTTCCAGGTCACATGGTCTTATGTCTGTTGTATCATTGGGTCTTCATATACCACCCCTGTGTGGGGTTGTGGTGGGGCAAAACCACTCCAATTTTATGAGGCAAATAGAAAACCAGCATTGTTGGGTTTGAACTAAAAGATAATAGTACAAAATCCACTTATCCAAGTGTAACTGGGCAAAGAGGGTCCAGCTACCTTTCACTGTAAGCCAATATGCAGAGACCGGGATAGGTCCACCAAACTTTGTCAGAAGGCTGGTGATTCTGGAGAACAGTGAGAGTAGCCTCTCTAAGACTGTTCTGTTCTTTTTTTTTTTTTTTTTTTGAGACAGAGCCTCAAGCTGTCCCCCTGGGTAGAGTGCCGTGGCATTACAGCTCACAGCAACCTCCAACTCCTGGGCTCAAGCGAGTCTCCTGCCTCCGCCTCCCAAGTAGCTGGGACCACAGATGCCCACCACAACGCCCGGCCATTTTTTGGTTGCAGCCGTCATTGTTGTTTGGCAGGTCCGGGCTGGGGATTCGAACCCGCCACCTTAGGTGTACGTGGCTGGCGCCTTAGCCGGTTGAGCTATAGGCGCTGAGCCGACTGTTCTGTTCTTGACTGTTCTGTTCTTCCATTTCCAGAATGACAGTTTTATACATGAAAGTTCAAAGTAAAAACCATGTTAACCCTTATCTTAAAAAAAAAATAATCAATATAATAATCTATGACCCAAAATAGTAGTCCAATTCAAAAGTTAATCTCCTAAATCAATTGCCCTAAACTACTCAAGACACACTTTTAGGTTAAAGCTGAATTTACAAAACAGCAAAAATGGGTCCAGTGTCCTCCCTGCCTTCTATCAACGTTGAGCACCTACAGGGTGTTAGACATTGCACATAGAATGGTGAATAAAACTCACTCTGGGAACTCAGGGAAGTTACCAAGGGAAGCTGAAGCTTGAGCTAAATCTTAGTGACTTAGGCAAAAAAGGGTTGAAATGATGTAACAGTATAAGCAAAAACGTGGGTAAGGACTGTGTATACAGGCACTACACACTGCACATGGGAGACAAGGCAAAAGGGAATAGAAGCCCAGTCTTAAAGGTTTAAATGCCAGGCTAAGGATCTTGGGACTTAAAGCTGTAGGTGATGGGAAGCCACTGGAGTGTTTAAAAGAGATTGTTCAGGATGGTAATCTCAGCACTCACGGAGGCTGAGGCAAGTGGATTGCCTAAGCTTAGGAGTTTGAGACCAGCCTGAGCAAGAGTGAGACCTCATCTCTACTAAAAATAGAAAAACTAGCTGGGTGTCATGGTGGATACCTGTAGTGCCAGCTACTTGGGAGGCTGAGGCAAGCGGATTGCTGAGCCCAGGCGTTTGAGGTTGCTGTGAGCTATGTTGCCACAGTACTCAACACTAAGGCAATTGAGTGAGACTATTTAAAAAAAAAAAAAAAAGTAGGATTGGTGCCTATAACTCAGTGGTTACATGCACCAGGGCTGGTGGGTTCGAACCCTACCTGGCCTGGGCCTGCTAAACAACAATGACAACAACAACAAAAATAGCCAGGTATTATGGTGGGCCCCTGTAGTCCTAGCTGCTTGGGAGGCTGAAGCATGAAAATTGCTTAAGCCCAAGAGTTTGAGGTTGCTGTGAGCTGTGACGCCACCAGCACTCTATTGAAGGCGACAAAGAAAAAAAAGTTTATTCAAAAAAGAAAACAAAAAGGTGACAAAGAAAAAAAGTTTATTCAAATTTTTCATTTCAGAAAGATCATTCTGAAACTTCAGTGTGGAATATGGACTTTAGGGGGTGGGTAGGACCAAAAACGAATTTGGTTATATAAAGTCATCCAAGTGAGAGATGAGAGGAACACAAAATTAGCATGATTTGACTGGATGAAAAGGTAGAATATTTAAGGGTGGCACCTACCTTTTTTGTTTGGGTGACTGGTATATGCTAGTTTTATTAACTGATAAGGAATTATAAAGGGAGAGATGGGATTGGGAAGATGATGAATTTAGGCTTGGCCTTGATTTGAAGTTCCTATAGTACAAAAGGTAGAAAAACCAAGTAGGCAGTTGGATATGAAGATCTGAAGCACTGGAGACAGAGACTTGAGAATAATTAGCATAGATAGTGTACAAGTTAGGGAAATCGATAACCTTCCTCATGGAAAGTAAGGAAGGTCAAGGAGGAAGGGGGGGACATTAAAAAGTTAAATGATGAGGGAAGAACAGGTTGAACCAGAGGAGAACAGTTTTAAAGATCTTCAGGGTGCCTATAGTTTACAGGATGAGTAAATTGCAGAGAGATTAAAGACTTAAAAGTAATTTTGGCAACTCAGAAGTAATTTTGGTGACCTTGGTAAAGGCTGTTTCAATGGAATAGCAAGGGCCTGAGGGCAGAAATTGAGTGTGAAAGTGAATAGAAAGTAAGGGAAATCAAGCTGATAGTCTCCACAATGTCCTGAGGAAGAGCAAGGATACCCTTAACCCTCTATCCCCCATTGTTTTTTTTTTAATTAAATTAAATTAATTTATTTATTTATTTTCAGTTTTTGACTGGGGCCCGGTTTGAACCTGCCACCTCTGGTATATGGGGCTGGCACCCTACGCACTGAGCCACAGGCACCACCCCCCATTGTTTTTTAAAATGAGGTTCAGAAGGAGGATGGGCCTTGTCTAAGTTCACAGTCAGTGGCAGAACCAGAAGTAGACACTAGGTCTGGCTGAGGTGACTATATTTTTCCCACTGTCTCTAAGCCTTGTTACCAGTCTAAAGCTAAATGTGGGGAAAGAAATATTTAGTATTGCTAGCCAGTTTGTCTCCATTCTCCCTTCAGCTCTCTTACTGGACATACTTCCCTTCTACCTCTACCCAACATTAACTTCCTCTTTTCCTCTTTGCCTGCAAGTCAGGCAGCACCCACCAGATGGCTCTCTGCCTTCTGGTGTTAGTGGACCCAGAGTGGGGTTTGAGGTTGCAGGCAGAGAGAATACTGAAGCAGAGTGCCCCAGGTCATTGAATAAACTAATCCTGCCTCCTTCCTTACACTTCATGAGAACTCTGAAATGAAATAACACAAAAGAATAAAAGTTAAGGGGCAGCACCTGTAGCTCAAAGGAGTCAGGCACCAGCCCCATATGTTGGAGGTGACAGGTTCAAACACAGCCCTGGATAAAAGTTAAGGTCAAAATAACTTCAAATGATAAGGCACCAACTTGAGGAATGCCAGCAAGTATAGGCTGATCCCAAGCTCCAAGGGAGCTACTGGTGGGATAGAATTGCCTAAAACTCCAGACTACCTGGAGCTGCTGCCATCAAAGATGGAATGAGGTGTCCAGGCTGTTATAGGTTACTGCTCCCCTAATTCCACCAAAGCACTAGACATCACCTAAAGATCTGTTAAAGCTTTCTTGTTCAGAGTAAGTCAAGGCAGGCCTGGAAATTGGACCACAAATATCAATACCCAGTGAACCGAGCAGCACTTAGCTCCAGGAAGACCAAACCAAGATCCTGTCTCCCTATCTCTGAACTGCTATTGCAACCTTTTCCGTGTGCCTCCCCAGCAGGCAGGAGTCAGTGGGATATGAAGAACTTCCTTATATCATCTCTAGTCCCCATAGCGGAAGGGAATATGATATGAAGAACTTCCTTATGTCATCTCTAGGCCCCATAATGGAAGAGGATAGCAGGTGTGTATGGTGGGGGACTCTTAACTGTAGGTATGTGGGAAGTTAGGACTATTGGGTAGGTGGTAGTATAGATTAGATATCTTTTTTTTTTTTTGAGACAGAGTCTCACTTTGTTGCCCTCAGTTGAGTGCTGTGGTGTCATAGCTCACAGCAACCTCAAACACTTGAGCTCAAGTGATTCTCTTCTTTCAGCCTCCCAAGTAGCTGGGACTGCAGGAGCCCGCCATAATGCCCGGCTATTTTTAGAGATGAGGTCTTGCTCTGGCTCAGGCTAGTCTGGAACCTGTGAGCTCAGGCACTCCACCCACCTCAGCCTCCCAGAGTGCTAAAATTACAGGCATGAGCTACCACGCCCAGCAAGATTAGATGGCTTCTAAAATCACTGCCATTTTAGATTCTATGATCCACATACTGATTAATTCAGCAAATAGTACTCCAAGTACTCCCAATTCTAGTGTCGTGTAACCCCAGCTATATATAAATGTTTCAGAAGCTCTGGGGAACCTGAAGGGACTGAGCCTTTTGGAGTATTGATGTACCTCCCACACTTAGCAAAGAGCGTAGTGCCTGGCACTGAAAGAGTAGGAGAAAGACATATATGTACATAAGTGCTTGATAATAGGCAGTCAGTAAATACTGAATTGTTAAATGAAGGACAGGGCATCGTATGATTTGTGCTTTGTGCCATTCCTCTGAGGACTCTGTAGAGGACACAGTTACATCCTCTTCCTCAGAAATGGGAGATGAGGTTTGGGGTCTGTGGCTCAAGTGGCTAAGGCACTGGCCGTATACACCTGAGCTGGCAGGTTCAAATCCAGCACTGGCCCGCCAAACAACAATGATGGCTGCAACCAAAAAATAGCCGAGCATTGTGGTGGGCGCCTGTAGTCCCAGCTACTTGGGAGGCAGAGGCAGGAGACTTGCTTAAGCCCAGGAGTTGGAGGTTGCTGTGAGCTGTGATGTCACAGCACTCTACCAAGGGTGACAGCTTGAGACTCTGTCTCAAGAATAAAAAAAAAGAAATGGGAGATCAGGAGTTTGAGATCAGGCAGAATTCCTAGGATAGGAACGTGGGTAGGAGATTTGCTTCCCTCCTGTCTGTCACTTCACCTATCTTGTATTTAGCTATTATATAGCTAAAAACCCATGGACTATATCAATCAAAACTGACAAAATACCCAATAAAGAACTATTCAATGGGCTGCGCCTGTGGCTCAAAGGAGTAGGGCTCTGGCCCCACATACTGGAGGTGGCAGATTCAAATCTGGCCCTGGCCAAAAACTGAAAAAAAAAAAAAAAAAAAAATTATTCAGCTTGGCGCCTATAGCTCAAGTGGCTAAGGTGCCAGCCACATACACCAGAGCTGGTGGTTTGAATCTGACCTGAGCCCTCCAAACAATGACAACTACAATCAAAAAATAGCCGGGCATTGTGGCATAGTCCCAGCTACTTGGGAGACTGAGGCAAGAGAATCGCTTAAGGAGTTGGAGGTTGCTGTAAGCTGTGATGCCACAGCACTCTACCCAGGATGACAGCTTGAGGCTCTGTCTCAAAAAATTATCCCAGTGGGTGGGTGTGTCCTCATCAAAAACCAACATCAATGATTCTGTGGCTGATGCTAACCCAAGAAGTGCCCTAAATCCAAGCCAAGGCTAGTAACATTTGCCATGTTCCTGAGCTTAAAGGTGGCTACCTGAGAGAAGACCAAAGCCAGATAACAGATCTAGGACAGACTCGGCGCCTGTGGCTCAAGTGGCTAAGGCACCAGCCACATACACCTAAGGTGGCGGATTCGAATCCCCAGCCCGGGCCCGCCAAATAACAATGATGGCTGCAACCAAAAAATAGCCTGGCGTTGTGGCGGGCACCTGTGGTCCCAGCTACTTGGGAGGCAGAGGCAGGAGACT